AAAAAAAAAAAAAAAAAAAGGTGTCTTTGATACCCTTATCACGATATATTCAAATCTCATAAAATTTATCCCAACGCAGCCCAGATTAGGACGGTGAATCTGTGATTGAGTTATATATAGTAACGGGCTTATAGTCATGCGTTTGCCTAATTGTGATTGAGATATACAAAGAGTGTCAGTCACATGCGGTTTCTTTATAGGCTCTGGCCTTCGCTCTGACATCTCTCTCTGATATTTATACCCTTGCCTGAGTTCTTTCCGGCGCACTCTCCCCGTTGTCATCTCTATATAGCTCTTTCTTGATTTTACTCACATAAACGCATCATCGTGTCAAAGTGAAGAAAAGGGTCGTCATATATATATAGGACAGCGTCTGTTTCTCATTTTTTTTTTGTTCCCTTTTGCCCAGCTGTGTATTTCTGGGGTTCTGCGGATGTATTAAAACTCCATTTTTCCAATTAAAGACGATAGATTTAATAATGCCTGGAATGGAGATATAGAGGTTTGCCAAGAGGCCCACAAGGCTAGCTAAACGAAAACAACACTCTTGCGTCGTTGCCCGTAATTTGACCCTAATAACTCTCTCATGTATCTGATGCTCGGGGATGTATCCTATCCGAAGCCCAGATTCTTGGGCAGTCAGTGAATCCTGATTTTCTGTCTTCTCACACAAAATTAGGGTGTTTGCTTAAGCATTTTATCTTGCTACTCCAGCGATTAGGGCTTTTTGAGGTTGGAGGGCATTTTCGTTTAGGCTCATTATTCGAAGCTCTGCTCGTTTGTATGATTTGGGTTCTTTTTGGAACCACTAGTGTCTGTCTGAATTCCGGCTTTCCGTTTGTTCATCAATGGCCTCGGACAAAACCTAGTCATTTTGTTTCAGCTGGGACTTTTATGCATTTCTTTTCCACATTTCAGGGTGATTGAGAGAGAAAAGATCCGGCTTTCTGTAAGATCTCTATCTGAAAGGAAATAGCTTTTGGTTGTAGCAGTGAGTGTTAAGGGTTCTTCATTTCGGACAGTAGAATTCACATTCGATTTAGTTCTCAAAATCATCCTATCATGAGCAGGAGAGTAAAGAGAAGGTATGCCAAAAAGGGTAGAGACAGAGTGGGCTGCCATGAGATTGATGACAAACTTGGTTCTCATGATGGAAGTGTACTTGACTGGACTAGGTTGCCCGATGACACAGTAATTCAGCTCTTCTCATGCCTCAACTATCGGGACCGTGCCAGCATGTCATCCACCTGCCGTGCTTGGTGGGCTCTGGGTAAATCTCCATGCTTGTGGCAGGACCTTGATATCCGGGCCCACAAATTCGATGCTTCGGCCGCCACTTCTCTCTCTTCCCGGTGCGAAAGCCTCCACAAAATCCGATTCCGTGGGCCAGAATCGGCCAACGCCATCATCAACCTTCGGGCCCGGAATTTGCGTGAGATCATTGGGGACAGCTGTGGTAGATTGAATGATGCATCTCTCTCCATGCTAGCAGCCCGGCACGAGGCCCTCCAGTGCCTCACCCTCGGGCCTGACTATTGTGATTGGATCACGAGCGAAGCCATAAGAGTGGTGGCCATTTGCTGCCCAAGGCTCAGGAAGCTCCGGGTATCAGGGCTCCGTAATATGAATGCAGTGGCAATCAATGCCCTTGCGAACAACTGCAACCTCTTGACAGATGTCGGGTTCATTGACTGCACGAAATTGGACGAATATGCCCTTGGGAATCTCAGGTCGGTCCGATTCCTCTCGGTGGCTGGTACAGATAATCTGCTGTGGGACTTGGTCTTGCAGCACTGGACGAGCCTTCCGAACCTGATTGCCCTTGATGTTTCGGACACGGATATTGATCCTTCGACTGTCACCCGTTTTATTTCGTCCTCCGCCAGCATGAAGGTCATGTGCGCCCTGAATTGCCCGTCGCTCGAGGAGGACACGAGCTTTGCCTCGAACAAGAATCTCAAGGGAAAAGTTCTGTTGTCGGTCTTCACAGATATTCTCAAAGGAGTAGCTGCACTGGTCACCGATATCCCAAAGGGTGATGATGGTAATCGTTTTCTGGACTTGAGAAACACAAAAGTTGAGGATAAAAGAGTCCACGAGATTTTGAATTGGCTCGAGTTTATGATTTCTGTTTCACTTCCTCGTGTTTGCGAGAGTAAGTTTGCTGGTTTAGAGAATTTCTGGCTCAACCAGGGGATATCCTTGTTGCTCGATTTCATTCAGAGCCAGCAGGAGGAAGTTCAAGAGAAGGCGGCCATGGCCCTTGCAACTTTTGTAGTGATTGATGATGAGAACGCGAGCATTGACACTGTAAAGGCTGAGGCGGTTATGAAAGATGGCGGCATACGCCATCTCCTCAATCTTGCCTGCTCGTGGAGGGAGGGGCTGCAATCGGCGGCGGCTAAGGTGAGTTTTTTGTTTTTTTGTGCTTAATTGGGTCTGTTTATGTGGTTTGAGTTTAACTGGATTGTAAAGTTTAGATGATTTTATGTTCTTGTACGTATACGATAACTCTTGTTCTTTGGAATGTATGAGGAAATGATGTTGAATTTTTTTTTTATCTTTACTGTTTACTGTTTGTTTTGTTAAAATTAACATTATGCCTTCCAAAAGATTATGCTCCACATCATTAGACCAAAGATGCTTTAACATCGCAAGGTATCTTCGAGCTCGACTTTTATGCCGAGACGAAGACACCGGTCTAGAAGCTGCCTTAAAACCGAACCCTGCAATCCGTAACATGGTTGATACTCTTAACGGACGCTTAAGCGTTTATGTGGTGTTTAGCTGCTTGAGTTTAACTGGATTGTAAAGTTTAGATGATTTTATGTTCTTGTACGTATACGATAACTCTTGTTCTTTGGAATGTATGAGGAAATGATGTTGAAATTTTTTTATCTTTCTCAGTTTTTCACAATTTACTAATTGATGTTATACAGACTGTTTACTGTTTGTTTTGTGCATTGTTAACATTGTGGCATATGCTCAATCTCTATTTATCCAATAATCTGGTCAAAGTTTTGCTTTATTTGTTGGTTCTTGAATCTTTAATAATAATATTAAGGGCCTTAAGAATATGATATTATATTTCCTATTGTGTGCAGGCTATAGCGACCTTGTCAGTGAATGCTAATGTTGCTAAAGCTGTTGCGGAAGAAGGGGGCATCACGATTCTTGTAAATCTTGCTAGGTCAGTGAACAGGTTGGTTGCTGAAGAGGCTGCTGGAGGACTTTGGAACCTCTCTGTTGGTGAAGATCACAAGGTTTGCCTTTTTTTTTTTTTCTCTTTGTTTGCTTGTTTCTATTAAACTCTGATTTATATAGACTTTCATGCTTTAATTCTTCAAATTTTGATAAATAAAATTTCATTTATAGGGTGCTATTGCAGTAGCTGGTGGAGTGAAAGCTCTGGTTGACCTTATTTTCAAGTGGTCAGTATCTAGTGGAAGTGAAGGAGTTTTGGTATGTTGTTATCTGTAATATGATAACTGTTGTGTCATGTTATATGGTAATATTATGATGGAAACTCTGGACTAAGTTGATAATATCTTGGTTGACTTTTCAGGAACGTGCTGCTGGGGCATTGGCAAATTTGGCTGCGGATGATAAATGCAGCACGGAAGTTGCTTCAGCTGGTGGTGTGAATGCCTTAGTGAAGCTGGCGAGGAAGTGCAAATTCGAGGGAGTGCAAGAGCAGGTGGTTAACTGTTTCATTTGGATGTTAGAGAATATATATTGCATATTTGTTGTGCATCGACATCTTTGCATATTGAGATCGGTTCATTGTGAGCACCAGAAACTATTTCCACCATTTATGTGCCATGACCTGTGATGTTATGCAGGACCATTTGATTTAAAATTGGTTAAATAATGTAGTAGCTTTCTTCCAAAAAGGCCCTATCATATGAATTATTGTTTCTTTGAGATTTTTGTAGTTTTTCCAAATTAATTCGTGGAGAGATTCATCAAGCACTTGCTCAGTGACCAATATCTCTCCTGTATTTAATATTTTATTATTTTATCAATTTTTTTTCGTATATCTTGGTGAAATATCCTGTAGTTACTTTATTTTATTAGTCTGAAGGTGATCCTTGAGGGATTTTGTATTATCATTTGATCTGGTACAGAGCTCTGTGTTCAACCAGTGTCTGACCATTTTTTTTTTTACTTTATTATCCAGTCAGCTCGAGCATTGGCTAATTTGGTTGCCCATGGGGATAGTAATAATAATAATGATGTAGTTGGACAAGAAGCAGGAGCAGTTGAAGCCCTTGTTCAACTTACTCATTCCCTTCATGATGGTGTCAGGTTATTATTATTATTATTATTATTATTATTATTATTATTATTAGATTTTGGTTTGTATATTTGTGAGTGGTTCTCACCGTATTTGCATAGTAATGCGTGAGAATGAAATATGTCCATGTTGGTTATTTTGCAGGCAAGAAGCTGCTGGTGCATTATGGAATTTATCCTTTGATGATCGGAATCGAGAAGCAATTGCAGCAGCTGGTGGAGTTGAGGCTTTGGTATGGCATTCTATTATTAAATAATTTCTAGAGAGTTCCTGGTATACTTATTCAAAATTTATCTTCACTTGGTTCAAGGTTAAGTTTTAAGAAAGCCATTTTTTGAACAGTGTCGAAGTAGGCTTTATTTTGCTATGCAGTGATTTCATACCATAAAAAAGTATTATTATGCTAGAAAAACATCGATCCTTGATTGAAATTTGGGTTTGTGCTTGCTAAGCTTGCTTTATGGTTAGTGCTACTTTGGGTGCTGATTAATTAAGCTATCTTTTATTGGAATATCTTATTATTGGGAAATCTCAATCGCTTATTTCAGTTTTTTACTTTTAGCTCACGTTTATTTAATCTGCCGACATCTTTATGGTTTTCTTACAGTCACTGTTTGCATCTCTTGATAATCAAAGAAACATGTTTTGGTTACTGTGAATAAATTATTATTTTTTCTCCTTTCTATTATTGCAAATCTAATGGTGATCAAATGGACTTGGATGAATGAAAGTATGGAAACTGTGTTTTGGTGAAAGTATGGGAACTTTGTTTTGGTGACACTTTCATTCCCTTTGCCTTTAGTCAGGTGTTCATCTTGATGGTTATCATGAGATCTGATATTAATCCTTTTTTTTTTTTTAAATTGTGTACAAGATACTTCCATTTCAATCATTTTTATCTATTTCTTGATATTTGTTGGTCGATTTTAGGTTGCACTAGCACATTCCTGTGCAAATTCGTCTCATGGGCTTCAGGAAAGGGCTGCAGGTGCTCTCTGGGGATTATCTGTCTCTGAAGCAAATAGGTAAGTTTGCAGATTTCGTTTTTTTTCCCTTATCATTTTTCTATTTTTTTTTTCTTTTCTAAACGATGCATAATAAATGTAAGTTTAGCAATATATATATATATATATATATAGACACACATATTCTCACCAAGGAGAAGGAAATAGTTATAGAAGTTATTCACTTGTTTGAAAAAAAAAAAAAGAATAATTAAATCATCTATCGGAAAAGGCTTACAAGTATTCGTTTTAAGTTGATTGTTCCCTTTTTTAATATTAGCATCGCAATTGGACAACAAGGAGGCATAGCACCACTAGTAGCACTGGCGAAATCTGATGCCGAGGTAAGTTTCATTAATAAATACAGCCTTTTAGATGTCATCTGAATTCTTTTTTCTTGATGCTTTCCTAATTAGTTATGATTTACGATAATTAATTATAAACAATTATGGCTTAACCATTTTTTGCATTTAAAATTCCAGGACGTTCACGAGACTGCAGCCGGGGCCCTTTGGAATCTTGCTTTCAACCCGGGCAATGCTCTTCGTATTGTAGAAGAAGAAGGTGTGCCTGCATTGGTTCATCTTTGTTCCTCGTCTGTATCAAAAATGGCACGTTTCATGTCTGCCTTGGCACTCGCCTACATGTTTGACGGAAGGTACTTTTTCCAAACTCAAGAAATTAACATTTTAAATTATCATTATTATTATTTTTCTTGGAAATAATCCTTTTTTTTTTAATCGTGGTTATATATTGTTTACAACATTATTATCTTCAAGAATGGATGAAATTGCACTTGCTGGAACATCGACTGAGGGAGATTCTAAAGGCGTGAACATAGACGGGCTTAGAAAATTAGCTATGAAAAACATAGATGCGTTCATGATGAGCTTTTCGGACCCTCAAGCGTTTGCTGCTGCTGCAGCCTCGTCAGCCCCTGCACCGTTGGTGCAAGTAATCGAGTCGGCCCGTATTCAAGAAGCGGGCCATCTCAGATGCAGGTTAATCTTTCTCGAACTTTATTGTTTGTCTATGAGTTATGTGTACTTTCTTCTAGTATATGATGAAATTTTTTGTCAAGTCAAATATGAAAGGTGGCTATTTGGTATTTGCGCTTCAAGAAAATAATAAAAAAAGAAAGCTCGGCTTCGAGGAAGAAAATATTGTTTGTTTTTGTTCCTATTCTTTTTGTAGAATATTTATATCTTCAATCACGAATATTTCTTTTTTTTTTTCTGGGTTTTCGTCCAGTGGGTCCGAAATTGGAAGATTTGTTACTATGCTGCGTAACCCTTCCCCTACGCTGAAAGGATGTGCTGCATTTGCTCTTCTTCAGGCAAACTCTCTCTCTCTCTCTCTCTCTCTCTCTCTCTCTCTCTCTCTCTCTCTCTCTCTCTCCAGTCCAGTCTTACACTTAGACATGCAAGAGTTCTGCACATGATTTCCATGAGGACAATTACAAAAGATTTAGTTCTAAACTTTACCAAAAATAGAAAAAGAATCGTTTCTGAAATTTTTTATTACCTCGCAAGTTTTTTATGTCGTGAACCGGAGGGAGTTTTTCTCCTCCACATACGGAAAGTCGCAGTAAGAAAAAACATGTTTCTCTCTCTCTCTCTCTTTCTCTCTCTCTCTCTCTCTCTCCGTTTTCAAACGAAATATTTCCTCCCTCAATCTGTTTTTCCCCCACATAATCATCTTTAAAGAAAATATTCTTCTCTCACTCTCCTCCCTATTTCTCTTATTCCCACATAGATCCATTTTCGTGTTTTCCAATTCATGATTATTGTTTTCACCGTGACAAAAGAGCTTATAATAGTTCATCTCCGATTCCATATTTGGATTCTTGCTCCTTTTTCTCAAACCACATACATCCAAGTTCAAAACTTGAACCACCAAATTGTAGTTAACGTATCTTTTTTGTTATTATTATTATTATTATTTTTCTTTTTCAAAATGTAGTTTACTGTTCCTGGCGGGCGGCATGCCGGGCTCCACGTACAGCTACTCCAGAATTCAGGTGCCACGCGCGTGCTTCGTGTAGCGGCAGCTTCTGCAAGTGCTCCTATTACAGCCAAAATCTTTGCTCGAGTCGTGCTTCGCAACTTGGAGCATCATCAACAAGCCGAATGTTCTGTCTGAGAAAAAAAAGCCGAAATGTTTCAGAGTTCATGTGGGAACTATTTCTGGTTAAAACTACATCTCATTGGTGGTTTTGCTGTGGATTATGTTTGAACTATTTTTGTGTTTTTTTCTGTTTTTAGACCAAGATAGTACATTTTAAGTGTGTTCTGCTGTAAAAAAAAAAAAAAAAGGTTCTTGATGAAGTCTGTTTAAATTTTTGGTTTTTCTCTTGAAGAAATAAAGCCCTCATAGATTGTGTGCATCTCTTTCGTCCAAAGAGAATGTTGCTGATATACATAATTTAGGGGATTGGTGTGATAGATATCTACATGCAGATTTTTGGTGATGTTATATAATTTTGTGAGCTGACAAATAATGTGAATTTTTGTTGCTGAATGCGATTAAGTTTGTGCATCACAAAATCTATTGCATTGTTATATTAGATCCATATTTAATCTGATCCCTTTTTCGGTTCAAATTTCTTGATTCAGTATTTTATACAAAAAACTTGAAAAAAAATGGTCATAGTCATAGCACAAAAAATGATAATCCCAGAAAACAAAGGTACTAAGAGAAACAGCATTTTCATTAAATTTTCCAAAATTGCACAGTTGGCTCAAGATAGATATGTAACCACAACCAGGCTCTACTGAAGGATATAACCAGGCTCTGAAAAATCATGCAATTTGAAGAAAAAAAAAAACATTATTCAATAAGCGCCCGTCTTTTACAGGGCATTTTCATGCATTCTGGACCGGCTCCTCTGTGTGTGCATACACCAGCCGATTCCCCTTCCACAGAAGCAGATTAGTCCTGCATTTATTTATTAAAATAAGGATAATATATACTTCATATATAAGCTTATTACTCCAGATAGCAAAATTAAGAAACAAGAATAGGCAGAGTGAGAGAAGCTTGCATGTCAATCATGAATCTTCCAGCTTTAATAGCAGGAGTCTCAAACTTCAAAGAAATCTGGAAAAGAGAGAAGAAATATATATATAAAAATAGAAAAAAAAAAAAAGAAAAAATTAAGTAAAAAATTAAGAGTGCAGAAATTATTTTAAGGTTGTAAGGACATTTTTTTCTTACAAATTTGGCTCCAAAGTTTGAGTTACAATTGATGCAGGAAGCAGTAGCTGTAATTTGATCAGTTACGACCGCGTAGTTTTGGCCCAGAGCCACATTGACCCTATAAATTCGTAATCAAATTTACAGTAATAACTAACATTGTAATAATGTCGCGTTTAAGAAGATTGTTCAAGATTTAACATATGCGATTTTTTAGTTTGACAAAAAGAGTAGCTTTAACAGAAATAGAGATATGTCACAGTAAGTTTCTCAAGATTCTGAAAATGATCATTTTTTTAGTTTTTTTTTTTTTTTTTTTTCTTGTAATTACCAAAACCATGTAATAAGAAGGCAATGCTTACATGTTGTTGAAGAGTCCATGGTGGTTATGCACAATCTGCAAGTAAAAAATAAAAAAAGCCAAAAAGAAGAAAGAAAATGATTGAGAGGTAATAAGATGAAAAGATAAAGAATTGGAATAATGGCAGGTTTGTCGGCTCATATTCGCATTATTTTCCAACATTTAGTGTATGCTTATAACAGAAAGGTAATAGATATCAAAATCAGAGTACCTTGTGGAGCAATTCTTGCTGCAAAGCAACATGAGTTTTGCATTGACGGCACAAGTAGAAGCTCGCATCTTCATTTTGGTCAAAACGAACAAGAGTAGTTGTTTCCATTTTTTGGATTCTAAGGCATGCAAAGCAAAACAAAGAAACAAAAATGTTTGAGAAAAAGAAATCCAAAGAACTGACAATATTAATGAAGAGATAAATACCGATGAATGCAAGAGTTTAATTGGATTTCATGCTTAGTCTGCAAAGAGTGGTTGTATTTATAGTGGTCAAAAGGAGGGGGCGTATAATTATGTTGGACCCGTTTGGATATACTCGTATTTACAAGCTCGTTGAAAGTCCGGCTAGTAAGTTTAGAAAATGCCGCTTTGTTGAAATAAATTCAAATTTAACATTAGGAAATGACATGACTAAATCTAACAAAGAGTATTGATTCGCAATAATAATGCACGGTTTCTTTTGACGTCACATTTCACCACACGATAACTGTTGGGAAAAATACGCTGAAATTTCCATGAAGTCGGATCTATAAAAGTGAAATAAAACAAAAAAAAATGGACACACCAAATTGATAACGGAGTTCGGCCAATAATGCCTACGTCTCCGGACTACTGCAGATATTTTATTGGGAAAAAGAAATACACTCGTGTTTACAAAACACTCTCGAAACTCACTCACAACCGACAACACAAATACACACAGAAGCTAAATTTTTTGCTTCTCGCTCACACCCTTTTTATCTCTCTTTTCTCTCTTCAGGATATTTGTATTTGTTGTTGTGTCCTTTGCCATCTGAATCCCCCTCAATTTATAGAGGGGGAAGTGTACATTTTTTTTCAACATAAGTGTACTGATGCTTTTCCACCCGGGCTGCTGTATCCAATTTATTTTTCTTCTTTGGATGCTAGTC